TTGAAAAAATTAAAAAACTTATAGTCACTATTAAAAAACATAGTCAAAATTAGATAAAAACAAAAAATGATTTATTACTTAATTATTGATACAATTGGTTTCAATTTAAAAAAGAAAATAAAATATTGAATGCACTATTCAATTTTATGGAAAAAATATGAAAGCAACTGTTTTTTATTTTTTGAACAGAATTTTTATTTTCGTATACTGAGTGGGGACTTCAACTGGAACTAATTCGCTAGAGTTGCAGGATTAAATATTTGGTTAAAACGCAGAAACAGGTCAATTGAGTTTTTTTGTGTCATTTTAAAAAAATATTTTTTCACCCCTTTTAAAGGGTAAAACATACCCTACTTAATTATTAAAATAGGATTATACTACTTGTGGCATCTTGTTGAAAAGCTATTTTAACAAGAAAAATGACTGCAATTTTTTCATTTTAATTTGATAGCGAATACACAATTTTCTTTAATAAATGTAAAGCTAACCGGCCTCACACAAAATTCAGAATTGCAACTAGGTAGGTTAAATGTTGCATAAGTTTTAAAATTAATGACATCAAAAAAATTTTAGGCACATTTTAGAGTTTATCTATTTTTTATTTTGTATTTTTATAGAAGTTTTTTTTTTAAATTTGCTATTAAATTAAGATGAGAAAAAATTGCATAGCCAATTTTCTGTTTAAAAGAGCTTTCGATCAAGGTGCCACAAGTAGTAGGTATCATTGCATATAAAAATTTAAAAGGAATGAAAAATTTTATTTTAAAATGACTGGAAAGCACACAAAATTTAATCGACCTGTTTAGTTAAAGTACCCACCCTGTATGCAAAAATAAGTCAAAAAATGTTTTTTATACAATTGAATGGTGCAATCAGATTTTGTATTTTTTTTTTAATAAAACAAATTATATCACTAAATGGTTAAATTTATTTATTTTTATCACTTTTTGAGCATGTTTTTTAATTGTGACTATATATTTTTTTATCAAAAACTACATGTCAAAACAAAAAAAATGAGTACCTGAAAAATTTTGTACGATAATTTTTTTAATGTAGAATTTCATTTTTTTAAAAAAGTGTTTTTGACCGAAAAAAATTAAAAACCCCAAATTTTTTAAAAAAAATTTGTTTAATTTTTTTTTTACTTTTTTAAAACACAAAAAGGTATAATTTCACTAAATATGTTCAAGATTGAATTATTTTTGGAAAAGAGACAAATAAAAAGCAAAAATAAAAAATTCGAGCAAACTTTTGCAATTATTGCTTGATCTACAACTTTTTCATTATACAAATATATAATTTTGTTTTTTGACTGTCACCGCGGAAAACGCGATAATACAATTTTTCGCCCCATTTCAACCCCCTAGAACTTTAACCCCCAGGTTGCATTTTTTTTTATTTATTATAAGTCCCTCTACCATTTACACTTATCAAAGTCCTGTTAACAATTTTTTTTTATTTTCATTTAAATAAGTTAATTCGACTGGTCTATGAGTCTATTTTTAAAAAAACTCAAAAATTATTGTCTTTGAATTCGATGAACTATTTGTCAATCTTTGAAAAATACTTATTGTTGAGTGTCTAAAATAACTAAAATATAATACTTAAAAAAGTTTTACCCTATAACGTTTATTTACTTTATCAACTATTTTATTTATAATTAATACTCCTAATTTATTTGAACATTTACTTATATACTAATTTGTATTGATAATATTAATGTTTACACATCGATCTCATGACTTTAACTTTCCATAAAGTTCCCCCCCCCCATTTATTTTTTGAACTATAATTAATAATTGAGATATGAACCCATAAAAAAACTTTGATTTTAAACAAGAATAGTACAGTGCCAAAGGTTAAAAATTTGTAGTACACCAGTTGCTAGCATTGACATTTTAAAGCAAAGAATTCGTTATAAGTAAAAAGAAAAATATTTTATTTTTATTAACGTCATTGGAAAGGGTTTGGAACAAGCTTTCAAATGATGAATCACCATATGACCCCATTTAAAATTATCTTCCATAATGGCTCCCAACAACCATTTTTTAAGATTACGTCACCTAATATTATTAAAAAGGTAGTATACATTTCTTAATTCAGTTATCCAAAATGTCAAATTTCTAACTTTTACGGTTCAAAAAGTAAATGGGGATAAGGACTTTAGATCCGCAATGTATACCTAAATGCTACACTCCAAATGTTCTCGAATTCACCGGATCTTGCTATAACCAGAACATACGTCGGCGGGCCCACCATTTATTAGACAGGTACCTCCGGCAGTTTATAAAATGTGAATTCAACAAAAACGTTGTCTAGACGCTGTTGTTACTGTTTTAATACATTCTAGAATGAAGGGGTCACTAAGCAATAGGGGGGGGTCAAGCATAAGGGGGATTTCGGACGTTTTCCTACTATATCGAATATTCTTAATGGTCATTAAACTGGAGGCCGTAAGATGCCTAAATATGGCAGAAGGGAACGTAATGAATTAGAGCATGACCGGACTGGTCGAAAATAGATCATACAATAACCATTTAACAAACCAATTTTGTAGCACCTACCTTTCACTAAGTTTGCATCATCAGAAGCTCTAATACTAAGAATATTCTCTTGAGGATGTCAACTTAGCTTATGTTGAGATGCTATAAAATATATATTTGGTAAATAAATTAAAAACTAAACTTTCTATTACATCAGCTGTTTCTTATATTTTTAATACAAGGCAGTAGTGTAGTTAGAATGTTTTGGCCTTTCCGCAAAATAGTTTTGGAAAAATCGATTTATCGTTTAATCGGTTTTTTAATTAATCGATTATTTTCGATTAATCAATTATTTTCGATTTTTCAAAGGTACTATATGAAAAATCGATTGATCGAATATAATCGATTATATGTATAACCGATGTTTCGGTTATTTTTTAGAATTACCAATTTTCGGTTAATCAGTTTTTTAATAATCGATTATTTTCGATTTATCGACTATTTTAGATTTCTCGAAGATAAGAGAATAATCAATTTTAACGGAAATATAAAAAGGATTATTAGAAAATAATCGATACTTCGGTTATTTTTTTGGAAAATAGATTTATCGTAGAATCGGCTTCTTAAATAATTGGTAATTTATGATTAAGCCATTATTTTGGAATAATCGATTATTTTCGGTATTTCAAAGATAATCGAATTATAGATTTTAAAGGAAATACAATAAAAATAAATTATTGATAATAATCGATTGATCGAAAATAATCGATTATTTAAAATAAACGATCATTCGGTTTTTTGAAAATCGATTTATCAGTTAATCGACTTTTTAATTAATCGATTATTTTTAATTAATCGATTATTTTCGATTTTTCAAAGATTAACGAATAATCTGTTTCAATGGACGAAAAAAATTATTTAAAATAAACGATAATTCTTTTATTATTTTTTGTAAACACTGATTTATCGGTTAACTGGCTTTTTAATTAATCTATTATTTTTGATTTTTCAAAGATAATCAAGTAGTCGATTTTAAAGGAAATACAACAAAACACAAATTGTTTGAAAATAATCGATCGATCGAAAATAATCGATTATTTTCAATGATCGATAATTTATTTCGATAATCACCCGCCCCTAGCGACCAAATGAGTTTTAATAGGTTTAAATTTTAAAATGTTATCTGGTTTCAGACATGCATTTCTAGAGTTTTATGTGACTCATACTCTATATTAATGAATATTCCTAAAGAAAGAAGCTGAGGTTACAATACAAAACAGCATTTTCTCATTTTGACTAATTTTTTATATTATGTAATAGCTGTAAAAAAAATATAATATTCAACTTACAAGGTTTGATTTGCAGTATTTGCCTGTGCACATGCTTTTTTTATAATACTCGTAGACAGTGGCGGCTCGTGGGGTGGTTCACAGTGACAAAATATAGGTATCAGTACAGATGTATGAAAAAACTTTCAGTGTTTTAGAAAGTTTATAATATACCTTTCCAAAACACTGACAGTTTTTTACCTATATCTGTACCGGGATCTATATTCTGCTACTGTGAACTCCAAAAATTTTGGTAACGAGCCGCCCCTGCTCGTAGACAATGAGTACCATTTCTTGCTCTATTAACAATATTCTATTTTAACATTTTACTGTAGTCTCTTGTTAAAAAGTCTGTAGTAAATAAAAGCTAACGAAATATTCTACAAAAGGTCCTTCTCTTTACATAAAATGTCGTGGCATCTGTTTGATATTAAAAAATCACGTTAAATTTAATTCATAATACAAAATTCCATTAAACGTATATTTTAAATAAATCTAATAGTTCATTATGATGCTAATAAACAAAGTCCGGTCTCTGTCACAGAGTTCGGGTCTCTGCCCAGTTCCCCCACTTCGTTAACCTTTCTTTAAAAATTGGCAACATTTGCGCAGGTTAAACAGCGGTGTATGTTACATCTCTGGTCTTTTTTATCTAAGACTTGAATTTACAACACGAAAACGGTATATGGCCATACATAGACGGTCATGGTCGAGGTCCAAGTACCAATGTGCTCGATGTGGTCGTTCAATAAATATTAATATGCTTAAAAATCGTAGTAACTAATTTCTATAATTTGACATAAACGTGACTGTTATTTTTAATTGAAGACAGTGGGCATGTCTACAAACTCGTACTAATTCTTGGCCCAGTCTTACAAAATACTTGTGAGAACAAGTATGCCCTTATCTTTACTTAGTTTTTTACGACTTCTTTGAATGGCAGCAGTTTAAATTAACACTCCCAAATAGATATTTTGCAATTTTTGGTCGTCTATTTTGTTGAATTTTTCTAGGACAGCGTATCTTGTTTCTTCATCCACACTCTGAAAACACTTGGGCCTGCAGTTGCAGTTTAAGTCAGTTGATCCTGGTCCCTTCTGTACTCCTTTCCAGTTCTTCTGCAATAGCTGTTTTATTAACATTTCTACTCTAAGCAGTAATATTTGCCCTTTTCTCTTTTTTATTACAGGAACTGTAGGCTCCTCCGTGGGCACATTGTTGCCAACTGATTCAGTGGATTGTTCAAATATGCGTTTCTTGTTTAGACACTTCTTTCTAAATGAAAGTTCTGTCACATCAGTATTAGAATTTTCATTAGAGCTGGAAGGCCCATAATATTATGAGTCATTAGCACTAAATGGCTCTGACTCAGTTTCACTCATTTTTAAAAAGCGGCAACGAACAACAAAACAACGTGAAAACAGATTATGTGACTAACAACTGGTAGAAAAAAATCATTGACCTTGCATTCCACGAAACCCAACGAACACACACGATCGTTTAGCTCCGGAGCTGCATCCTTCTTGCACCACAACTGAGGAGCAGATACATAAGTACATATAATTTCTTAATTTCTTATCGGATCTGCATCGTTTTTGTACCAATCGATCTGCCAATTGTTTTTGCATATAATGTATATTTCAACTTAAAATGACACAAAAATGGAGCTGCATCCTTCTTGCAGCAATTAGAAAAACAGACGATTTAAGGAAAACATTTTATAATGCATCTACAGTTAAAAATTCACTCGTAAGGGGATAAATTGGGAGAGTATTATTATATTATTAGTATTCTTACTTTTATGCTCCTTCAGTCTATGTTATGTTGCTAAGTTGGTGTTTAGAGAGCTGACGTAAAATTTATTCAATAATACCTAAGCAATGATATTTAATTTTATAATTTATAACAGTTAATTTGAAAGTAATATACTATAATGATACATTATGTTCTATTTACTAATAAAACAGATAATGTATTATTATTTAAATAACATAAGAGTTCAAAGCAAGATAATAATAAAAAACATTAACTCTGAATACGATAAATTTGATAACGGTATCAAAAATATTTACCGTCAATGATATTAGGTACCTAAATCATTTAGGTATAAATAAATTTCGGTTTGTCGCTCTCATCCAATTCTATCTTGCTTTTATAACTTTCTAAATTGTAACCGATAGCCGCCAGTCAATGTCATATCTAATTTAAAAAAAATTATGTAATAAAACTAAAACTAGAATGACATTTATTTGTGGAATAATTGACAATATTTGTATCAGTTTTAATCAGTGAAAATTGTTAATAAACTTCGTTCGAAGATTTATGTTTATTGTTTAGATATAAAATTTAAATTATGCTAATATTTATATTATTTATACTGATTTTATACGGTAATAAATGATAACTGAACTGTCGGGTTCAGTATACCGGATGGTTAACGTTAAAGTTTCATATTTCTTGAGTTATTTTCGTTTTACTTTTAAACATTCCTTATTTACTCACTTCAATTTTCATTTGTGTTTGTTCATTTTTACTAAGTTCTTTCTTATCTTACTCTTGTAAGCTTATCAGACACGTCTTTAACTTTATAACGATCAAAATTAAGCGACACATTTTTTTATTTACCTCTTTTTCATATTTAGTTAGCCCTTTCCTACCATTTTCTTAGTACCTACTTTGAGTTTTAGTTTTTTCGAGCAACCGCAAGCTATAAAAGAAGTTTTTAGGGTAACCCTGGACTACTTCGTATTACAACTAAAACTATTTTATATCATAAATGACAATTTATTCATTTAATAATTGAAGCGTTTATTTGAAAAACAACACATGTCCAAAATTAAACTTTTTGGGAAATCAAGAAAAACTGCTTATCTTCTTACAGTTTAAGTATGCATTTTTGTAACGATTCTTTTTGAACATAATGTTTAAGCTAGAAGCATATTCTAATATTTATTTTGGTTGAAAATACAAAACTTACGAATATTGGAAAAGTAACACATGTCCTTATATAAAAAAAAACACTTTTTTATTCTCCACTGCTGCTGTTATCGTCACTAATGATTTCAATATCTGAAGATTTTTTCCCTCCATCTATTTGTAGGTTCAGGTTAAAGTAAAATTCTTTATTAAGAGGATTAAGTTATTTAGTGAGTTCCATTATGTCTCGAAACTTCACATTGCTTATTTGAGGTTGCCGTTCGTTTGGTATTAGAGCTATTTCTTGTGAGTTTCTTTTCCCTGCAATGGTATAAAACGTCCAAGGACCATGATAACTTTGACGTACTAGAACCTGAGCCGGATACTGCTGTGATACTCGATACATTTGCGCTGGTTTCAGTGAAATTTTTGGTTTGGTATTTTTCAAAAAGAAGAATTTCAAACTTTCGTCCATAAGAAACCATTGAGTTTCTTTTCCAGCATTTATCACCTTGAATGGAGAGGGCTTACATCTTGCCTGTCGTATAAGGTCGTTCCATTCTTCTGGAACATCAAGGACAACTTTTTTTGCCCGAGAAATGAGGCTAGAGTCACTATCGCAAGGTAAATAAGAGTGTCTTCGAACTGAGAAAACGTGTGTTATCTCAGAGGCTATTTTTAGAACGTGCACAAGTATGTACACGAAACGAATGAGAACGTAGTTTTTATTTTGGCCTGAACAACCATCAGAGAAGAGCCAGATTTCATCAATTCTTTCTTGAATATGATTCTTGATATAGTGAAATATCATGGATGTCACCTCGTTTTCACCGCTCTTCATGATATGTATACATACTGACGTCACTGCTTCCGATGTCATGTATTCCAAACACATAATGCCAAAGTTGCCTGCTATAAAATACTTTGCTTGTTGTTAGATTGGGCAAAGGCAGATTCTGCATAAAATCGAAAGCTATTGCTGATACGATTGCTTTGACATTTAGTTTTAATTTTCTTCTTAATATCATAAAACGCCTTTGCTTTAGCTTGATGAACGTTTCTTGTTTTTTTTTCCTGAGCTCGTCTGACTATGTCTCCAAATAACACTGAAGCCTATTGGCTTATTGTGTTTTACCCCATGTTAGTTCATAGCACCCACTCTGTCACTTTTGTACCTTGTACAAGTTAGTACAGATCCTTGGGTGAGTGGGTTCTATACGTTGTTGGATCAACCTGGCATTTGAACAGTATGTGTTTGGCCGTTTCTGGTTTCTTGTGACATAGACGGCACATGAGTTCCCCATTGTACATGCCAATTTTGTTCAAGTGTTCCTTTACTTTCAACTGGTTTTGGGACATGGTCTGCCTATGAAGGCTTTTCCATGTGCCTGTTTTGGGGTGCTTCCCCAATAGTTGATATGCTGTTCCCGAATCCAGTCGTTTATGAAACCCCGGACTGTACTTTTTGATACTCCTGGATTTGTGTCTGGTTCCGGTGTTTCTTCTGACCCTCTTTTTGCAAGTTCGTCAGCCTTTTCGTTGCCTTCGATCCCTTGGTAACCTTTCACCCAAAATAGTTTTACTGTATTTCGGTCTGCCAGTGTTCTTAGTTCTTTGATGCATTCCCATACCAGCCACGACGTAACTTTCTGACACGATATGGCCTTAAGTGCCGCTTGGCTGTCTGACATAATTTGAATATGCTGATTTTCGACAGCTCTTTCATTGTTCGTTTTTGCACATTGCAAAATTGCGTATACCTCGGCCTGAAATACCGAGGAATGTATTCCTTTAGCATAGCTATGGTTAGTATCAGGGTTTTTGTAGAATACTCCCGCCTCAGTGCCTTCCGCAGTCTTAGACCCGTCTGTATACCAGGTTTGTTCCTAATGTTCCTATCGTTGGGCATTGGGCTCCCTTATGGTGATCTCTGCTCTTTCCAAGGTTTCTTGTACTAACAAGTTCAACCTTTTTGGTATGGTCCATATTATGGAGTTTTAGTTGAGTTTCAGTTTCGTCACAAAACGTACAAGTATCGCATCTAGGGTAAGAGAAGGATAAGTTAAATCGGTTTTGAAATATTTTGTAATAAACGAAGTAAGAAACTGTCGTTTTTGGGTGAAGTTCTAGGAAGGCATTATACATTTTTTTCACATTTAACTCTGATGGAAGGTACACTTTCTTTTTTGTCAAGTCTTCGTGTATAATGACTCTGTCGGCTTTTGAAAGAAGAAATATGTGTTATTATCATTTGTACGTCTTTCTTGGCCTATTAGCGTGTTTTCCACGGCCGTCCCTCAATGAAAATCCAGTCATATCTAGGCTATTTCTAATCCGACGAAACTGTATTTCAGTTACACCAAAGAAACTACGAAGTGCTTTAGCGCGCACATTGACTTCATTTTGTACTTAAAAGAGGCTATATGTGGTGGACCAGTTCTGTTTATATTTGGATCAATTCGGCTGCGACGCCTCTGGACAGGTATTACGGTAATAAGTCCAGATAAGCATGAATCCTGTTCATCTTTTAACTTCATACCATTAAACAAGCAACTCGGAACGCTGTTCTTGTGTTGTAATCTGGAAACATCTATAACGCTTGCATCTATAACCAAAAGTTACAGTCAAAACAAAAGTATGTACTTACTGTTACACTAAAAACTTACCTGCAGTCAGTTCCTATTGCTCTGGCTTTGTCTCCCTTATGTGTTTTGTGCTCTAGCCCGCTTACTTTTGCACGTTTAATAATTTCCCGCCTATAAATTTTCTTTTTTCGTTTTCGTGGTTGATCTGTAGTCCGAACTTCACAATTTTTGTCACCAGCAATACCAGAGGTACTAGGTTGAATATTTTCTGCCATATTTAGATATGATTAATACTTAAAATCTGTCAAAATATGCAAAATTCTACTAAGAAAGTAAAACGATTGCGGCCATTACAAAACACACTCCGCACAAAAATTAACGCATCATTTCAATTTTCTTACAAAACGTAAAATTTTTGAAATTTTTTTTTTAAATTTGGTGTCATAAATTAAGAACTATTTGTATGCAATAATGGCAAAAAAATAAAACTTAAGAAGGGACTAAATAAATTTATTCGATTTTTTTACAAATTTAAAAAAGTTATTTGGGTGCAATCGATAAATAAAACAAAATTAATACCTTGTATTACCACCCCGTGCTCTAAGTACTGCCAGACATCGACGTGGCATACTTGAAATCAGGCTTTGCATCAATTGTTCCGGCAAATTTTCCCATTCCTCGGTTAGGGCATTTTGAAGTTGATTTAAGGTGTTAGGAACAATTGGTCGATTTCGTACTTGTCGTGATAAAATTGTTCCAGATATGCTCTATTGGATTTAAATCAGGACTTCGAGCTGGCGAATCCAATGTGGGAATACCAACTTCGTTAAGATACTGACGAACAATTAAAGCTGTGTGCGGGCGAGCGTTGTCTTGCATAAAAACAAAATTGTCACCAATGAATGGACCGTAAGGTACAACATAGGGTTCAAGAATGTCCGTTACATATCTTGCAGCTGTTAAATTTCTTCCCACAACTGGTACTATCTCTGTACGTGCCGCAAAAGAAATTCATCCCCACATCATAACAGAGCCACCACTAAAAGGTTCTGTTTCTCTGATGTTACACTGAAAGTATCGTTCGCCATCACGCCTGTAGACTGGAATTCGTCGATCAGATGAAAACAGGCAGAATATAGATTCACCAGAAAACAGAACATTGGACCAATGGTCTATATCCCAATTCACATGATTTCTGCAAACTCAAACCGTGCAACACGATTCTCTTTGGTAAGACCTGGACACAAGTCGGCCACCCTGGCTCTAATTCCTCCTTCCCGAAGACGATTTCTTATTGTTTGCACAGAAATTCTTGTGTTCGTTTTGGAGCATTCGCGCTGTACAGTGTCTAGTTCGAAGAGTGGTTAATGTTAAAAATTTGGGGTGTCCGCTGCTATTGTAACCTTTGGACGACCTTGGCCAGGCCTTCTCTCGTATTGCCCTGTTTCTCTAAACCGGGCAGCGTAAATAGAAAAGCTACTTCAATACGTCCCCCAGGCAGTGAGCAACTAGACTAGGGTTTTTATGCATTATTCGTGCAGAAAACCTACTTGAATATAACCCCGGATGGTGCCGTATTGGAGTAGGACTTTTTGGTCTATACGCGGCGTAATATTCTGTAATTGCTACTTTAGTACGGCAAGTGTTCCTTTAGCGGTTATGTTTGGTTAACACGCGGGGGCTTCGGTATTCGGTTGTTAAGTACGGGATTATGTTTAAATCCTCCCCGCGTCTATCTGAAAAGGATTGCCAACAGCTTATATATCTGGCTCTAGGAAAAAAATTCCACTGTCTTTCTTTGAAAACATCAACGCACCTGTTCATGAAGGATCATCAAATGAACACACATCTCATCAAACTACATTTCATCAAGCGGAGTTCAACATTCCCATTGACTAAATAGGTCTTGACATGTTCAACAACATAGTCCACAAAATAAATGATGAGTTTATACGCATTGGTCAAGTTTTACAAAGTGACGCAAATACGAGCCATATACCACAGTTACAGATAAGAATTTCGCAACTTGATTATCAATTATTACTATATAGAACTTTTTTATATACAGAAGTTTGCCACTATACCTACTAGAAACTCTACCACATCACAGATCATGTCATTTGTATGTCACAAAACATCCAGTAGGAGGTCAAGAAAAATTTAAGTACAACCAACATCTATTTCACGCCGAAAAGCTAGAGGTATTTCAGGAGGAAGAATTTAAGCTGGACGTCCTGCGAAGTTAGGATGCAAAGGCGCCAAAAAACTACCCCATAATATAGTATTCAATATTGAGAATAATTTACAGTGTGCCAAAAAACAATAATAAACGATGCAAATAGCACCACACTTACAGATAAGAATGTCGCCACTTGATTATCAATTATTACTAAATAAAACTTACATCTACAGTTATTTGCCAAATAGAAACAACCCACAACTACCTCACGCCCAATAGCTAAAGATACATATTTCAGTTAAGGTGCCAAAATGCAACCCCATAATATAGCCTTCAATATTAAAAATAATTTACAGTATGACAACAAATATTAATAAACTATGCAAATACATGTATGTTTTTTTACGCAAGAAAACACGGGTTGTACTGAAGTAGTATTTCCGCATGTTTAGGCAGCGTAACGCGCAATCCTACTCCAATACGGCACCATCCGATGATATATTCGAGTAGGTTTTCTGCACGATTAACGCATAGAAAATAGAAACCCTAGTCTAGTTGGTCACTGCCTGGAGGACGTATTGAAGTAGGTTTTCTATTTACGCAACCGGGCAGCTACCCTGGAAATTGTTGATTGTTGAACATCAAAAGCATTTGCAATGTAACGTTGACTACGTCCTTCTTCAAGTAATGTAATGATTCTAACCACTTCGTCATGTCCCAAATTTCTTCTCTGGCGGTCAGGATTATTCATTTCAATAATTTTCAAAATTAAATACCACAAAAACCAAGTTAACTTTACTAAATATTGAAAGCAACTAATCGCGAAAGTATTAGTATTTTTTTTTACAAAAACATTTACTCATAAAAAAACCTCATCCTTTTTTGCATGTAAGTATCCAAAACTAATATACAGGGTGTCCCAATACTTAAATATATCGAAAAATCAAATAAAGAAAAACTTTTTGTCACTTTTAATAGTGATGCGCTAATTTTTGTGCAGAGTGTATAAACAACAACAACAACATCTAGTTACCTCAGAACTAAACTATCTCTATAAGCACATATGTTGTTTTTACAACAAACCGCGTAGACATCAGGTGTTCTTCTAAAACTAGT